GAAGGGGGATGGGTCATCTCTGACGACTGTGGCAGTCGTGCCTCTCATCACTCATCATGCGCTTCAAGTGACCACTGTTAACAGCCACGTGTTAATGTGAGCCTGTCTTATAATTAAGATGCTTTGATGAATCTACAATGTGTATGGCCTCTGGCCGAGTGTGTTGTTGACTGCGTGCTTGGCAGTTCTCTGAATCCACCTTGTTTGACCTCGCGGCCTAGCTGTGCGAGGACCATCAAAGGGTCCAGCTAAAAAAAAACAAAAACAAAAATACAGGAAAAAGAATATGTGATGCACAAAAATAAACTGGACAGTTTTTGCCTGAGGGTCACATCAAAAATTTTAATATTTTGGAATAAGAATTAAAAAAAAAAGTAAGTTAAAAAAATGTTTATTTTATCATTTATTTTTTTGTCGGCTGAGCAACTTGCCCCGGACCACTTTGGTAGCGTAGTAATATATTGTCACACTGTAGATCGGAGCGCAATGGCGAAAAAAAATCAAAACAAGAAAAAAAGAAGTAAGGTAGGAAAGCTTCGTCTGTTCATCACCTCTTACGTACAAGGCCAGCCACGTGGATGAAAGATTGAGCGTTGGCTGCCCCCATCCCCGTGTGTCACAAAGACCCACTTGCACGCAGCCAAAAGACAAAGAGGTAAGGAAAAAGAGGAGGAAACCAAACCTCATAGGGAAGAAAACGGCCTATCAGTCAAAACAAAGCAAATGACACATATATAATACATGCATATTAATAATATTATAGTATATAAAACCAACGAAACAGTTTGTCACAGCCCTTTGTTTGTTGTCCTTTTCTCCCTCTCTGCCTACGGTCTACCGGACAGCTCTGTTTGATGATATATATATATAAATATGGAATTGCAGTTGAGTGTAGTGTCAGTGAAAGACCTTCGAGGGATGCAAGCCATTGAGTGTCAGAAGAAAACCATCTGGAAAAAGGGGAGCCAATGAATTTACTAGCTCCCATACCATTAGCTCACGTCATGTATAGGAAAAAAATAGAGGGTTGGGTTTGTATAGAAAAAGGATGGGATTGTGGAGTAAGAAACAAAAAATATTCTAAAGAGCTAGGCTGGGTGGGTCGTATTATAGGAGAGGAAAAAGATTCTTAGATCAGAATAGAAATTGAGAAGTCAAAAAATCATAACTATTGGAAAAGAGGCAGTTTCGGGGGGGCTGGGGGGGGTCCTTTGCCAGTAAAAAATTATAGGAGATGCAGCTGTGTCGTCCCCCGTACGTCGTACGGGGGGTACCCGTACGGACCGTACAGGCGTACGGACGTCTCCCGTACGAGCGTGCTACAGCCCAAAGGGGGGAAGCTAGGGGGGGGTTAAGGGCATGGGGTGTTGGGGGGCTTACTGGGGGCACAAGAGTGTTGTTGAATTTTTTTTATTTTTATTTTTTTGGTGAAAAATGAGAAAAAAAAAAGGACTGTCCGCGTCCCCGCGGGGCTCAGCCTGGCAGGCAGTGGCGCGTGGCAGGGCTGTTTTGAAGGGCAGGCCGAAGCAGCCCTGCCCCGCGCCATTGCCTGCCAGGCTGAGCCCCGTGGGAATGCGGGCAGTCCTTTTTTTTTTCTCATTTTTCACCAAAATTTTTTTTTTTTACGACTTCATGTGGACTAGGCGGGCCTTGGGGCCGTCGTGTGCTTATATATGAGGTTGTGGGCGTCAACACCAACACTTTTTGTTGTAGCCCACATTTGTGTTGTCGCCCACACGACAGTGGTGTTGGAGGCTGTTCACGGCAACGCAAAGAGAGAGAGAGAGAGAGAGAGAGAGAGAGAGAGAGAGAGAGAGAGAGAGAGAGAGAGAGAGAGACAACAGAGAGAGAGGGAGGGAGAGAGAGAGACGACGACCAAAGACGGGGAGAGGAATTGGATGACGACGACGACGACGCGGGGACGACGACACGGCAAGAGCCAGCAGACGGCGCGTAAGCGCACGCCGCGTACGTATGGCCGCTCCATCCGCACGCGGCGTACTTACGGCTCGCTCCGTCTGTACGCGCCGAACAACTAAAAGTTGGCGGCGCGCTCCTGTATGGATGCTTCGGCGCGCGCGGAGAGAGAGAGAGAGAGAGAGAGAGAGAGAGAGAGAGAGAGAGAGAGACACACTCTTGAAGGTGGTAAGTTTCCTCCACCTGCTTCCTTTTTTTTTTCTTCTTCTTCTTCTTCTACTACTTTTTTTTTCTTCTTCTTCTTCTTCTTCTTCTTCTTCTTCTACGTTTTTCTTCTTCTACTTCTTCTTCGTTTTGTTCATTCCTTTTCTCCTTCTTTGATCTTTCATCTTCTTTTTGATCCGTCTTCTTCTTTGTACTTTCTTGAAGTTTCTTCTTCTCTTCTTCATCTTCTTCTTCTTCTATTTCTTCTTCTTCTTCTTCTTCTTCTTCTTCTTCTTCTTCTTCTTCTTCTTCTTGTTATTTCGTCTTTTTTTTTCTTGTCGTGCTTTCTTCTTCTTCTTCTTCTTCTTCTTCTTCTTCTTCTTCTTCTTCTTCTTCTTCTTCTTCTTCTTCCTCTTCCTCTTCTTCTTCCTCTTCTTCTTCTTCTTCAGAGTTCGTCTTCTTCTTCCTATTCTTCTTCTTCTTCTTCTTCTAACTCTTCTTCTTCGTCTTCACAGTTCTTCTACTTCTAGGTCTTCTTCTTCTTACTCTTCTTCTTCTAACTCTTCTTCTTCTTCTTCGACTTCTTCTTGTGTGTGTGTGTGTGTGTGTGTGTGTGTGTGTGAGAGAG